AAATAAGTTAAAATATCTTATTTATTGGTCCGGATATGATATTAGTGAATGTACATAGGAGTCAACAAAAAATCTTACAAATACAAAAAAGAGAGTTGAGGCTTTTTATGGACAACATCTATCAAAAAAAGGATAAAAAATAGAAAATCTTTGTTATAAAAAAAATAAGATGTAATTAAGAAGGCCTCAAGAATGATCAAATTATAGGGTGGTCTTTTTATCCTACTATGGCACACTATCAATGGCTGAGAAGAGCTATCAACTATCTTCAAAGAAAACAAAGATCAAAATATGTTCCAAATACAATATGCCGTATCTTAGATTTCATCAAAACATGATGATTGTTCCTTATGGAACTCATACCTAAAAGAAGAGATAATATCATATATATATATATATATATATATATATATATATATATATATATATATACTTTAAAAAATACCTATGTGATTAAATAAAAGTAGGTAAAAGTAGATAAAAATAGATTAATTTCATAATATCTTCTAGAGAAGCTTTCCAAAAGCTTCATAAAATTTTCTTTGATTTTACATGTGTTTGTAGTTGATTGGTAGGTTAGAAATTTGGTCAACAAGTTAACTACATGTTGGTAGCTTATGAAACAAGGTAATTATGTGGCATACATATAAAAAAAACTTGCCTTACAAGTTAAAATATATGTTTTGGAGGTCCTATAAAATATTGCAACATAGTTCCTAGTTAAAAGTATATATAGAGACAAGAGTGAAGCCTTCTTCACTCTTGTCAATGCCTTTCTAATCTTTAGTCTTATTTCAAAACTTTCTAGTCTTCTTGTTTTTGGTAATAGCCATTTTAGTTTAATACCATATCATCTTTTAGTGATTTTTTAGTTTTTTTGACTGATACAAGAGTATATTAAGGATTTCTTTCTTCAATATTTGTATCCTTGAAAGAAGAGCATTTTGAAGAGAGAATATGAACTCTATTAGGTATTGTACAAGGTTTCAATTACATTGTCTCTATTATAGATGAACAAATTTGTTTTCCAACATATTATCTTCTTTGAAAGTTGTACTCTTCATTTTGTGGTTGTATGGCTTCTTTGGATAATATTGAGTAGTATGTTTAGGTTCTATACAATATAAGCATAATTCTTTCTAACAAAAAAAAGTTTTTTCTTGCTTAGTAAGAAGTTTGAAATATACTATATCAATTTACACATCTTTTATTTTCAAATGTATGTGTTAAAGAGATGTTCTTATTGCCATTGAATTATTGTAAAGTTGACATGCACTTATATAACTTTCAAATCAAAATTCAAAAAGTCAATCATCACACTTTTTAGCAAAGTCAATTGCTTAATTCAATATTTGAAAATCAAGTAAGTTGAGCATCAATTTTTTTACTTCATATTGTAATCTATAGAAAAATTGGCTAACAAGTGTAGCATCTTTGTAGTTGATATCAGTTACAAGTTGTCAAAATTATGAAGCGTATAACTTTTTTGATTGATTGCTTTATTACAAAATATAGATCTTGTTGGTTGAAAAATAAATTGCATCATATTTTCCATACATGGATCAAAACTTTGCTAAAAAAGCTTCCAAATTATCCAATATTGGATCTTATCACTTAAAAAAAAGAAAAAACTATAATAATACTGAATCTGAAAGAAGTATATCAATGAATCTAACTTATGATCCTGAAGTTGGATAGCTTTAGAATTGATTATACAACTTCAATCATAAGTTGTACTTCATTAATAAATCTTCAAAAGTTTAAATCTTGTGCAATCAAACTTCTCAAGAAATACAATCCTTAGTTTTCTAATATTAAAAAGATGTTCTATTATAGGAAAAGAGACATGATTTGATGTAGATGTTGAAGCAATTCTAATCATCTCTATATCTTTGAATTATGCTATTCTTATTACTTTTTGTAGTAGTATATTGAGTTGATGCATTGCAAGCATTAATTCTCTCAATTTCTCTTGTATTTTTACCATTACACTCTTCATTTCAAGAAGTTGTGCCATGATAATACTTTTAAAAAAAAATCTAATATTACTAAAAATAAATAGAAAAGAGGATTTTAAAAAAATATATTAAGGATAATATCAAATTAGAAGAGGATAATCTACAACTTTTAATATACTTCTGTATTATTAAGAAAAAGAAGTAATCTACTCTTAATTAAGAAAAGACAAAGCTTTGATATTGTAAATATACTCTTATCAATCTATCAAGGATAAGAATTCAACAAAAAAAAATGATCAAGTGAGACTTCTTCAAAGAAATATGATAAAATAGAAGTAAAGAAACATGTATATTAAAAAAAATTAGAATGGCTATTGCCAAAAGATAAGAAAATTTAAGACTCTTGAATCTAGACGAGAATAAGAAAAGAATTGACAAGAGTGGAGAAGGCTTTATTCTTCCTTCTATATATATTACCTACTTAAATGATATGTGTTAATGTTCTATAGAACCTCCAATATATGTTGACTTTACAAGCCATATGTCTTAACTTGCAAGGCAAATTTTCTATGTATATATATTATAATTAGCTTGTTCCATAAGCTACCCACACATATGACATGTAATTAACTTGTTGACTAAGTTTCTAACCTAAAAATTAATTATAAGTATGTGTAAAGTCAAAATTATGTCTATGAAACTTCTATGAAGCTTTTTTAGAAGATATTATAAAATTTATCTATTTTTATTTACTTTTACTTACTTCTACCTAATCATATACGTAAATACTAGAATAAATATATATATCTCTTGTTATGATATAATACAACTATATGGTGAAAATATAATCAAAAATAAAATCTTAATTAATATCTAATTATCTTTATTTAATAATAATTCAAGATATTTAAACATAGCTTTTATAAAAGCTTCTTTGTTTATTTTTTTATATTAATAATTAGTAGGTTAAAAGTTAGCTAGTAATTTTACCTTCTAGGATATAGAAACTCTTTTATTACCTTAAAAAGACTATAAATTGATAAAATCAAGTTAGAAGAGGGAAATAATTAGCATGGTTGATACTAAAGTTAAATTAAAGATAGAGTTGAGTTAAATAAAATCCTTAAGATAGATTAGATTAATACTCGAGGGTCGATTGTATGTTAGACACGATTGAAATCAGACTTCTAGCCATTAAAATGATGATGTAGGATAAAATAGGATTTCATTTGAAGATCAAAGATTAGAATTTGAGAGCTAGCTTGGAGCTTATTTTAGAAACATAAGACTTATTTTTTTAGGATTTTTTAGACTTAAAAATTATTATTCAAGATCACGGTTTATTTAGGCAGCTTGGAATTTATGCAATATAATTAGGGCTAGCATTCTTAGCTAGTTCATGATATTGATGTCACATCTATAATTCAAAATTTGACAATGCTTGGTTAATTGAGTATGCTAAGTGAGTGTAAAAATTTGTCAAAATTTAATAATAAAGTCAAGAGATATTTGGGTTTTGGTACAAGAAGATATCAAAAGTTGATAATTTGGAGTTAGATAGAGTTTCTATGATATTTGAAGATCTATAAATCGGATCAAAGTGAAATTTGGCATGGTCTGAGAAAACTTAAAGATCAAGCTATACACCAATTTTGAATTGAAGTTAACAATTGAAGAAGGAGAAATCAATGCTGGAACATTTGCATCAACTTTCAAGCAAGCAGCCAAATAACATCAATGTGGTTTTTGAGAGTTTTCTCACGATCTATATGTGGGATTGGGGTGAATTCTTTCTAAGCACATAAAAGACTTATAGTGGCATTTGTTTGTAAAATTTTGCTTTAAGTGGACGTTTAGATTAGGAGCTACAACTTGCTAAAGCTTACTGATTAGAGTTAAGGTTGCAAAGAGAATTCAAAATTACCTAATTATAAAAGTAACAAGGCAATTGGAATTTATGTATGGTTGAAATTACTAAGAAGAGTGTTTTTGAGTACTTTGTATTGGATTTAAGTACTTTTGAATTAAAATTCAAATTGCATTCTTCTTATAAAAGTGAAACATATTAGGATTCTTGAATACTTGTAAAACACAATCTCACTTTTCACAGCCAAATGTCCAGTGCATTCCCAAACAAGACAACACATAATATGACACCATGACAATAGATTATACTTCTACCTAGTCATTGAAATAAATAAGTATGTTCATGACACATATTTCATAATAATCTCCATGTATTTTGTACTAGTTTTAAGGTTCTAATGTATGAAATGAAAGTTTCTATGAGATAATAATTTATTAGCCAATTTTATCAAAAAATACTTTCAATTTTTTTCACTTGCAAATGTTCTATCATTAAATAATTGCCGTAGTAAAATAAAAATCATATATTTTGTGAACCAAAAAATCTAATTTAGAATCAAATTGATAAAACTTTGAAGTCACAAAGATTTAAAAAAAATCAAAACTTATTGCATATGCATATATATATATATATATATATATAAATTCTAAGTACAATTCCAATTATGTCAGGATCTGTGCACATATTTAATCCGTACAAGGAACCCTTTCACTGATGGGCCCGAGTTAACGAACGTCTCAGGAAATGACGATGTCAGTGAACGAACAACTCATTGGATGATTGCGCCAGTAGACGACTTTATCAGATAACAAACGAATGAAAAGACGAATATGCGAGTAGATGAATGACTAGTTGGATGACGACGCTAGAGGATGAATGGTCAAGTAAATGGCTCCAAATATGGATGAATGAGGCAGCCAGTTGCCGACGGCGATGAGCCAGTAATGGTTTCATGGGTACAATAAGCCTCATGGCATTGGAGCGCCGTCGCCGTCGCCGGCACTGTGCCAAGCTCGAGGCTGATGAGGAAATGCCGCCGTAGTCACGTCGCGGTGCCGCCACGGTCCCTCGTCATGATCTCCTGCCGCAGGTTGCATGTCCTGTCTTTCTGGCTGGCTGGCTGCGTCCCTGCAAGGCGAATGTAAGTGGCGGCGCACGACTGTCCTCTTAACATTCTGGGTCTGCGCGTAGGGCGTCGGTAGACTGTGCTACACAAATCCTCTTTCCTGATCCGGGAGGCGGCAGTAAGAGTGCGAGCACCGGCGAGATCGACTATGCGTTGACGTGGTGTGATTGGGGGCGAAGGTTTCAGTCAGTGCTGGCCGTTGTGTTGCAGGGAGAGGTTGGAGAGGGATTGATTGATGGGTTGACTGAGGAGAGAATGTTGAGGTCAAGATGGTTCATGTAGTTGTTCCGAGGATGTCCACGGTGGTAGTCGATGGTGTAGGAGGAGATATGGAAAAGGTCCGAGGCAGGCGGAAGAAGGGTCATGTGTTGGTTGATCAAATTGCTGAGATCACTGGTAAGGTTCGATTTCTGGTTGTGGCGAGTATTCTGAGGTTTGCGGAGTTGGGGAGAGGGGGTTCATCCAGACTTGATGAATCTGAGTGCATTTGTGTGTAGGGAGACCGAAGCGGAGCAAACTGGCGTCGGATGTAAGCCGCTATGGCACGGAGACTGTGCCAATCACTGATGTGCTCAAGGTTAACCGGACCACTCTCAAGGATGCCCAGTTAGCACTGGAAATATTGAAAAATGCGGGGAAAAGTTACTCTCTTGAGAAACGTTTTCGTAGTCCACTTGATGGGAAGGGATCGGGGGGTACTTTAGCAGACGCCGTTGAAATTGATGACGATGACGAGGTGCAGATTACTAGTTTTGTCCCGAGGCCCCCTCTCCCTGCGGAAAAAGAAACGAACAATGACAGAGAGAGCGGCAAGCTTATTCAGGAGAACACTCTCGATGAGGAGGACATATTGGGGCATCAGATACTCCTTAAAGAAGTGGATATTCCTGTAGTTGGCATCGAGGACGTTCAAACCGCAAAAGACAGCCCTATGGTCACCAGTGACAGCGATGACAACTCTCTCATGAAGACTTTGAACACATTGAAGTCTGTAAGACGTGCAGCCACAAGTGCTCTCAAAAAAATCGAGGGTGGCAAGGGAGCAAGTGCTGAAGAGAAACAGGCTCCTGCAAGAGGTGGAAAGGGTGGTGGAGTTAAAGAAGCTAATGAAGAGGAGGATTATTTGAAGGAGCAGGTGTTTGGCTCTCCGAAGAGAAAAGAATCTAGAGCTGTGGTTTTTGCGGAGTCCTACGGTAGGGGGCCTGATTATGAGGTCGAAAATGATAGTGACAGTGACAGAGAGGTGACTCCGCCGTCTGGGGATACTTTGGACGGCATTTGGGAGGACATTGCTGTCATGAGAACGCAGATGGTATTACACCCTTCAAATTACTTTCATAGAGTAGAGATTTTTTCGCAGACCCTGCTGCAGGTTGAAGTTTTTTGAACCATGATAATTAATAATAATTAAAAAATGAAATTTATATTGTGGATTGACGTGATTCTCCTTGAGTATTAATTCTTTTATGGTTATTCATGTCAGTTGCTTAGCGTCTAGATTGATAGAAATGAACGAGATTGACAGGGCCTTTTGTATAAACACATTGACAAGTTGGAGAACCTTTTGTGTACAGGGAAAGGGCGAGGTTAACGTGGAGGAAGTGACAGAATCCTGTGAACATGTCTACGAGGTCAAGAATGACGTGGGCAGAGCTTGTTCTCAATGTGGATTGATCAAGGTCGACATCAAGGACATGACGTTTATGTGGCGCAGACCGGTACCCCATTAAACTTTTCTGTACTCTTTAGATCTATGTTTACCTTTTTCGATTCAAATTCAAGTGATTAAGTAGCACTTGCTCATTAATATCTGGGGATCATCCCTGGTGTTTCCTCCAGTGTTCTGTGCGGAAGGCCTTTGTCAGAGGAGAACGACTTGATAACTGGAATGACAGTGGCGACGGCGTCCTGGAGGAAGACGTCAGGTTGGTTGGAATGGCTCAGCTAGAAGCGCATCCTTCATTAGAGAATGCGATGCACCCACATCAGCTGGAAGGTTTCAAGTTCCTGTCCAGAAATCTTGTGGAGGAGGATTCAGGTGGCTGCATGTTGGCATTTGCACCTGGCACAGGAAAGTCTTTTCTCATCATCAGTTTCATACAAAGCTTCATGGTCCAGGTTCCAAATGCTAGACCCATGATCGTCGCTCCCAAGAGTATGCTTCGGCCATGGATGCAGGAATTCAAAAAGTGGGAGGTTGAGGAAATGCTGGTGCTAAACCTGTATGAAGCGGATGACCATGTGAAGATGCTGAAGCAATGGATGGCAACCCCTAGCGTGTTGTTAGTAGGGTACTCGCAGTTCATCAACCCGAGCGGTGAAGTTGGCAAGTATTTGACGGAAGGTCCTGGTATGATAGTAATGGACGAGGGACATCTTGCAAGGACAGAGGAGACGAAGATTCTGAAGTCTCTAACCAGAGTGCACACGAGACGTAGGGTGCTTCTCTCTGGTACCCCATTCAACAACAACTTCGAGGAGTTTTACACGACTCTGGAGTTGGTCAGGCCCAACTTCATGAGTAGAGCGAACGCCCAGATGTTTCCAACTTTGAATACTTTCCAACAGATCGTGGACACCAAGATGAACTCCAAGCAACCTGTACTAGACGGCCAGCTGCTCAAGAGGTCCACCAACGCTGGAAGGAAGGCGTTCCAGGATGTGATTGGGGAGAAGTTCGAGAGTGGCAAGTACTCCAATATTGCCAAGGCTCTGCAGCAGCTGAGAGTACTCATCGAGCCCTTCGTGGCTTGGCACAAAGGCCAAATATTGAACTCTCTTCCAGGCATCACTGACCTTACGATTATGCTTGAACTGACCGCTCAGCAGCTGGAACTTGTGAGAAAAAACAAACAGAATGAGGTCCGGGACAGTTTACAAAAGAGAGCTGCGGCTATCTACGTCCATCCCATTCTAGAGCCAGTAGCAGATGGTGTCAAACGAAGTCAGAGGGATCCTCGTTTGAAGGGGGATGTGGATGTCAAGGCGGGTGCAAAGTTGAGGTGGGTACTTGACATGGTGCAGCAGTGTAATGATGCAAAAGAAAAGCTTCTTATTTTTAGCGAGTATCTCTATTCCTTGGCGTTGATCGAAAACATGGCTGTACAGAGGATGAAGTGGTCCAAAGGCTTACAGATACTTAGGCTAGATGGATCACTGCCACCACAGGAAAGAGAAAGAGTTCAACACAAGTTCAACACTGATCCAGAGGTGAGAGTGTTGTGTGCCTCCATCAAGGCGTGTGGAGAGGGCATATCACTTGTTGGGGCTTCCAGAGTGATCTTATTAGAGGTCCTTTGGAACCCCTCAGTCCCGAGGCAGGCTATTAGCAGAGCGTTCCGAATCGGCCAGCAGAGGAAAGTGGTGGTGTACCGCTTGATTGCTGCAGGTACATACGAGGAGATGAACATGCACGCCGCCGCCACACGGAAAGAGTGGCTATCAAGGTTGCTATTTGATCCTACGATCCCATGTGATGATCCAAACAGCATTCTGTGGGACGTCACAAAAGATTGCAGTGACTCATTTCTTGCTTATAAACAGAGCAAACTTCGGGAGGGAGTTCGCAGCATATATCAACGAGAATTTTAGGATAATTTCTATCAGCGTACGTTCGTCAAATAATGACCAATTGTAGATACTTTTTGGATATAGGAACCATATATTGTCGGGTCATGAACCATTCTGATAACTCGACTGTCTAATGGTTGATCACTGCCTTGGTTTCGTTCGTCTCCTTCCTCCACCATTCACGTCCACTGAAAACTCTTCCCCCGTAGTGGTCGAGCTTGCTCCAGCGCCAATATTGTCATTCTTCTTGTTGGACGCTTCGAATCCAAATGACATCTGATTACTACAAAGGTCAACTTTTCTCAACCTGATTGTAGATCGCCGTGTGAATAAAATCCATAGACAAATCGATACCGTGGATCCCGCAGACAGTGCGACCAAGGCCATCCATACCCATTTGGCATTTCTGCGCATACCCGGGCAATTGTTTGTTGCAACTGTCTGAAAAATTTCAACGAAGGATTGCCGCAGCACTGCGCAAGTGTCATTTGTTGAAGGTTTTTCCTGGATGGACTTGTCCTTCTCGATGTGATTTAGGTGTCCATCGTCATTTTCGAGTACGGAAGTCTCATGGTATCGTTGGTGAATGCCATTCACAAATTTGTAATCTGGAAATTGAGTCTCACCGTCTGCTACGGTTAACAGCTCACCAATACTTAAATGGGAACTAGAAGAGTTGAGGTCAGAACCACATTTCATGATCATATCAAAGCTGCTGCCAGGCCTGGGGTCGTCAGCCCATTCTTGCATTGCAACACAGGTATCTCCAATAACCCTGCAAGAAAATCAACACATGATTGCAGTCCGTGAGCTATTGATAGACAGATATTATTTGATGAAGAAGTTCTAAAAGGTAATCAAGTGTTTACGAGTAGAGGAGGAGGAAAACACCGCATAGGATCCAAGTGCTCGTGACCAGCAACCATCCAATTGTTACTAAACTGTGAGAACACAAATCACTGTTAAATTAGTTGCAAGTATTCAATTGAACAATCATACCACGATTTGTAGCTCATTCAAATAGAATTATTTTATGAAATGAGTGCAGTTTAGATAAACTTCAATGCAAAATTCAATGAGCTTACGTGTATATAACTGGTTTGATATGATAAATAACAAACACTGGCCCAACCGACAAGCCCAAGTGTAACAGTCCATCAAGATTTGAAGTATTAACCAAGCAAATAATTGCGACTAGGCAATGTTTTTCTCACAACTCAACATTCAATTTTACAAATTAAATTCCAACCATGCTACTGTCATTCTTAACAAAAATTGGTGAAGAAGAAAATAAATACATTTGATCCTCACCGAGGCCAATCAGGGCAAGAACAAGCATGCCAGCGCAAAGAATAATAAGGCCTAAGCGACTGCAAAATGCACACATATTATTTAGAGGTCGTGTATAGATCGCCTGCTCAGCGAATGCAGAAAGCTTTACCATTAAAAATAATAAAAAAAAATAAAGAAAGAAGGAAAAAAAATAAAATAAAATAAAATAAAATCGAAAAGTACACAGATTCATAAATTGAGTTCAAAGTGAGAGCGTACAAAGAAGACTAAACGTCACCCACATTTCATCCAGAATTGCAAGAATTTCAGTTGAGATGCTATTTGTTGCACTCTCCATCTTCTCAGCGGCTTGAGCAGCAGAAGGAGCAGCCATGGGAGGCACAGACGTCACACTCGCATCCACCGCTGCAGCGAACTGAGATATCAGGTATTTGAACACCGTGCTCAAGTCGGAATGCAGCCCTTCTTGTCCCGTGAACAAGACCCCACACCCCGTACTGCCACCCCACATACATAATGGTATCAAAAAAAACATCGTAACTCGTCATTCAAGAACAACTAATATTGAGTAACCATTCTACCATAACACTTGTTTCTGTAAGGATTGACAACTTGAACAGATCCTCAAGAGTGCTGAGAGCGAAATAAGCTTTGAGACAGAACCAAATTCTTAATAGAAGGTGATAGAAGTGCGCACATGGTAACGATGGTGAAGAACATGAGTGAAATGAGGGTGGTGAAGTTGCCAACTCTGTCAAAATTAGGTGTAGGTTTTAAATGTTCTTTGCAGCAAACCAACATGCAGCCCATAACGACAATAATACCTAAACCTAAAAGTAAGCACAGCAACCCAATGACAAATCCTGATATCCCTGTGAAACCTGCAGACTGCAGCCAATTTTTCAATAAAAGCGAAGATCAATTCTAATGCCATTGCATTCACAACTGTGCAGCACAAGTGTAAGTAAGTAGAATTCAAATGACACAAACTGGGCATTCTCGGATCGTCTGGATTCCGGAATGCAAGAATTACAGTAATCAATAACTTAAACGTCTTCACTTTTCTTCCACTAACACTTCAGATTATCAGGATTTCTGTGAAAATGATAGAAAAAAAAGATGCTGCCCGGAATTCATGAAAACTAATTCATTATAAGCAGTTAAATAGAAAAATCACATTACCGCCAAGTAGCTCATATTCATGAAGTTCCATCCTCCATGGTAGGTTCGGAAACTGTTTAGAGGATCCGGTCGTCGGGTGCGCTCTGCAGCTAAAATGTAGATGCTCTCCGCCGGGCTTGGTGATGGATTGCTCATTGTGAGTCAAGCTACACTTCAAATTGCAAATTCAATGAGGGTCCATTTCATGAACCATTTGCAACCACACTTCTATACTAAGAGAAATATGAAATCTCTCCCTCCATCATTCAACAGCGTTACCATAACTTCCATACCATTCCTAAGCTCAACATTAGCTATAGCCTCGTGCCCTAATCGACCATAACATCTATATGTGCAGGTGGGGATACAATCTAACATCCCTTGTTCTGGTGACTTCAGCTGTTGGAGTAGAACATAAAATAACAAGTTCTTTTTCTAAAATTCACTGTTCATGATCCCACTTCATCGGTGCAGAGCCCCATGCAAAGTAAAAATACGGCCCTAAATTGTCATTCTAAGGATTAATATTCATGCAGCAAAGGATTTCTCCGCAGGGAATTGTTGCAATATTCGATGGAGGAAGCTAATCGATAAGATCAAGAGACCTATGGCTGTGTTCGAAATTCTGAGCGGCACCCGAAATTGCATTCCTGTGAAGGATCGAGTACCATTGGAGATTGTCACGTGTCTGGAAATAGATATGGAACTGCATCATCTGTGGATGAATGACGTTTTTTTCTTGTTCTGCGGAATCGTCGAATGCTCCCAGTGAGAAAACTTCACTCCATTGACACTGAAACAGATTTCCATGAAAACTTGCTCTTTTGTCGGCGTGATGCATGGAATTCTACTTCCCGACTAGTGCTCTGAATGGTTGTCATCGTGAAATGCATCGTTGAGCATTCGGGGGCGAGAGGTTGTCGACGTGATCACAGTTGTGTTTTCCTATCCAACATTGATTTCTTTTATGTAAATTATTTTTTTCATACGGAGAATTTTTTTACTTGTATTTGTAAATCTCACTCTGTTGAAATAGTTGTGAAAACAACCCCTCCAAAGAACCTCAAAGTTTTTGAAGTATGACAAACATTGTCACAAACTATGAAAAACATGTTTTTGTGACAAATAGTTTGTCCTTTTGATTCTTCTACAAAATATAATCTAAAAATTGTAAATTCATTAAGTAGCAGACCAAATGTATATATAAAAAACCAAGAATTAGTATCACTTGTATTTAGATGGAAATTGTCTAAAAATATTAACCAACAACCAAGTTGAAGCAGTGTAGCTTATCTTGAACATCTATACATTTTTATCCTATATATAAGAAAGAAATAATGTTTCAATTATTTTGCATATAAATTATATAGTTTTTTGTATAAATATATATATAGTAATTATACTAATAGATATACTTATATTAATATATATAATTATCAATAATTGTACATATTATAAATCTTGCATTTTTAATTCTTTTATAATTTTTAGCAGAATTTGAAGGAGTAAAAATTACAATTGGAGTATTGGAATCAATAGACGGTTTGCAAAACCTTTAAAAAGCGTGGAATACTAATATTCTAAGTAAGGATTAGAACAGGTTCAACTAGGCAACAATTTTTGCAATTTATTAAAAAAATATAATTTTATTATAATCAAGAAAATAATTGGAGAGCTACAATATGCCTTCAATATCTTGTTAACAATTTAATTTAGTGTATTTGATTAATTAGTTTGTAAGAGTTAAACTTCACCAACGAACAAACAAAGTATATATATATATATATATATATATATTTAATTTAAATTGTTTAACATGATATGTCATTGGACTTGGCATTTATTAAATTTGTTGTCTAAATATCATAATGTATTACAAATTACACTAACTAATATTCAATATATAATTATCTATTATTTAAAATCAACAAACTATTCTTATGAGTTATGTTAAGGAATATTTTTATACATATTACAAATTGCTAATTTAAACATCAACCTTGATTATTTTTAACAATTAATTAGAGACACAAACATTTAATTTTTATAATAATAGTAATAATAATAATAATAATAATAATAATAACTCTATCTTTATTATGAAACATCTAATTATTTGCTACTCTCCACATTATTTTATTTCCAACTTTAAAATTTCAAATGGATTACTTCATCATACAAAACTAGCACAAAACCATTCAGTTGAGCACAAAAGATTATTTGTAGATAATAAATAAGAAACTTTTTGCAGGTTATGCATCGTTTTTATTATTATTATTATTATTTTATTGTTAACAATTTCTTTGATTTTGGCCAACAGAGAAGGTTTCTTTGCCTCTTCGCCTTACACCTAAGCTTCCTTATTATGTTATACAGATTGTTCAAAGATACTTGACAAATGTGTCAAATCCATTGAGAAGGTTTGCCTATAATGGATTTGAATCGAACTAGCTCAACCAGTTCTAACTAGTGTCACCCCAAAACCACTCGGTTTGTACGCAGTGAAATACTTCGAGGATATTTTATTTCAGTCGTGATATGCTTGGTGCTGTGCAATGATTTCATAAAAATCAAAGTTTGATGAGTACCATCAGCCTTAATGGCCTCTCTGCCGATCATGAACTCTGAACCACGACGTAATAGCTGGAGATTGGTGCTTCTGGGTTTAATTGTAGTCTTCACAATGCCTGTTACTTCAGATATGCTTCTCGAAGACAATCAGAGTGGACATCATCGTGGTGCATGTTGATTCTGACAAAGAGCTAACTGCAGCTTTTTTGCGTATGTTTAGAGTTTCGTCCAGTGTTGTCAATGTGGCCCATATCAAATAAGGGTCATCGCCAATGTACCTGTACGCACATATTGTACAGTTAACAATCTGTTTGGCAAGTACACATGCAGTCCAATCATTTACGTTTGTGTGTGTGAAAAAACAAACACAGGAGTTAGACCGGGAAACATGGCTGATTCTGGTGATCTCCATCACCTGAGGAATTCTGAGCAGATTGTTGAATGCAGTCATCGAATGTGTTCCCTACCAAACTTACCTCTTGTACTCTATTCTTTCCTTCAATTTTTCGTCATCTCCTGCAACAAAAGATTGATCAGAAAATGTCAAGCCAAGTGGGCACAGCTCAAGTACTCTCAAGCAAAGTAGACAACCATCTTACAGCGAGTTTCTGAGGAGCATGTGATTGTGGTTATTTGCCAGAACAACCGTTTCGTATCCTTCTTTTGACTCACATTGAGCTACAAACAAGGCTCTTGCTAGTTGTCCTCCATAATCCCTTACTAAGTGATATGTTTCCCTGTAAACACACTCCGGATGTGAGAAGATGCTTTTGTGAGCAAAACTAAATTTGCATTGCATCAGAGTCCAGCTTGAGTAGTAACTCAGTATTGCTTTTTTCAGAAGGCAGTTTTTTCATACTATTTCTGCCGCATGCCAGAGCTATAAGCTTCAAAGATTCGCCGCACTTTCCACTAATCTTGATCTGGGTTTATAAGGGCAATGAACCGTTCATTTGTGTCGGTGTTTCTCGCTTTTGTGTTGCTTCCTTTCCACATTTGACATCCGGATGGTGGATATTTTTCATTCGTAATCTAGGATTTCATCCATTTTATCTCCATCATGTATGGATGAAATTATATATATGTGATGAAATAAAATTACAAAAGTTTGTAAAAAATTTAGAAAATTATTAGATGGACACCCTCCTACAATAGATCTCTACATACACACAATAATATCAATGGTTTTTAAAGCAATAGATTTGGAACTTATAATAAATAAAACAAAATGTAGTGAATTTGCAAATTGCACATTCAAGAAGAAAACTTATTAATAGTGTGGTTTGTTGGATAGTGGTTTTACAATTTTCTTAGCATAGATAGGCAAAGAAGGGAGAAGTCATTTTTTTATTTTTATTTTATTTTATTATGATGTATTTTAATTATTGAATAAGCTAAAATAGAGACAAGGATTTCTAAGTATCTTTAAGGAAATCTTAAGGACATATAAATCATTACAAAGGATATCAACAAACAAATTAAGTTCTTGAAGAATTCTAATACTAGTATTGATCCATGGTCCAAAACCCCTAGAACCAAGTTAATGATTGATGGGAGGCTAAGGTGATCTGACCTATCACAATTAATTGATGAGCTGAGAAGTAGACATATAATGTCTATTAATCCCATTAGAAGGCTCATTATAAGTTGACTAATTACACATATATGTTTGAGTGGGAAGCTACTACCTAAAAAATAGGAAGAAGTGGCATGACTAAAATATAGAAGGAAGGAAATTGAGACACAATAAAGGAATTTTTAGAACCATAGTCTTTGAGTATTGCAAGAGTGAGCCAAAAATAGAATCTTGGAGCCAACTTAAAATCAAAGAAAATAGTGTAAGAGAAGGAATAATCTAAGCACGAGACTTTAAATTTGACTAAGGAATTGTAAGGTAAAATAGAGGATAGAACAATGATATATGTTGCAAGGCAATTGAAGAACTAGATTGCTAATCACAATAATAAGAGCCACCTAAAAATCCACTTTTTTGCTCAAATTCTGCTTGATTGATCTTTTCAATGCATGAAATGAAACCAATGGAGTATAGCTATATATGTACTTTTTTATTATTAGATATAAATATTTATTAAAATTATTATAGTGTTTCATAAATAAATTGGTAGTTTATAAATGAATTAAAGAAACTATGTTAGAATATAATATATTAGCAAAGTGTTGCAATATTAGATGAAAGGTGGTTGTGGCACTAGATTGCAATACTAGACACAATATTGTGGCATCCAAATATAGGATTGGGTGGGATTTGAGGTAGTTGAGGAAAAATAGCAAAGTTGGTCAAGTATGATGTTGAGGCTATATTGCAATGCTCGAAGGTTTCTTGAATAGCTACTATCTTTATTTGATGTTAGTATGATGTTTTGCAGTATGGTGAAAGATCAATTTTAGGAACAAGGTAGAGGTATTTCTTTTCTACATTAGAAGCTTAATTTTTAAATATAGTTGAAAAAAAAGTATCATAAATCTCTTAATTTCAATGAGTTGTATGCTTTTGAACTACTACCACAACATTTGGAGAATGAGGCATTCCAAATCTATGGGAGATAGAGTGAAGATTACTCACTTAAATTGCAAGAAGTGAAGTATTATTAGAGATAAGAATAGAGTTTATTAGAAGCTATCAAAAAAAAAGTATAGCCTTATGGTTGTTGTATTAGAAGAAGTAGCTTCTTTAACAAGCGATTGGGAGAATTTATTCCAACTTCCCTTGCTTGTTATGAAACCCCTTGCTACACTAAAGAGAGTAAGCACATTGGATGGTAAAATAGTAAGATTTATGAAAGAATTGTACCTTGCCTAACACACTTGGTACTTGTATTAACAAGCTCAACATATTGTAGAAAGATGATTTGAAACTTTTAACTAAGGCTCAATTATGGGACTGTTTTATGCAGAGCTAAGAAAGATTTGTTATCTCCCAAATGGGTAAAGTCTACTTTTGATTTTCTATTAAGATCATAATAAGGCAGAATATGATGTATGTTACCTATAAAGACATCATAAAAGATATCTTGGCATTAGCTATAAAGGGATGCATCATTAGATCACAAAGTGTAACTTATGCTAAGCACATTGTTTTATTGGACAAAAGAAATAATTTATCAATTAAATTTATAAAGAAATAAAAGAAATATATTTATAGTAGTAAGGTAAATCCCACCCCATAATTTAATGAAAGAAAGAAGGAAGGGATAGTTCTATTGGATCTTATAGAGAAAGTTGATAATGTCTATTTTGTCTCTACAAAGATACCTTAGGTAATTTTTTTTATAAATTAGTGTTCTTGCTAAAGAATCTTTTATTATCATATTTTATTATATTAAAATATTATTGATTATAAATAATAACATAGATCTATTCCATTACATATTAGCCACACATTATATATATATTATAATATTCTTTATTTTTTATCTTAGCTATAGTATAATTATACTAATTTAAATTCATAAATAAAATTAATAAAAATATCAATTCAAACCTAGATTATTTATAACTTTTGAAGTATTTTGGTATTTAAAGTAATAAATATGTCATCTATTTTCTTTCAATATGGACCAAATTTTCTTATGTTTTAGTTTTTTCTTTCAAATTCTAAATTTATATTTTTTTACTTAAATTATCCATATAAAATAAAATATTTTATATATATATATATATATATATCTTAAATCAAACGGCTATACTACAATAAAATAATATTTACAAGTATTAAGATAGTGAAGACATAAATAAATAAGATTTTTCATGGTAATTAAATAAGATAAAGATAGCTCCAATTTTGTCTTTTAAAATCATTGGCAAGAATAAACATTCTTATTTAATCTTATATTAGTTTATTATGTAAACCATAAAAAAATACCTATATATATAATATACTATTTAAATTTTTATTTGTATTTAAATTTAAAAATATATGTAACATTTTTTAAAAATCATACTAAATTTGAAGAAATTTTAAAGTGGTATATAAAAATATTTAAATAAAAATTACAAATATTATCAAAATATTTATTAATTAATTTCTTCAATAAGAATTCAATATCTTGTAGATTTCAAGCCTTTTGTATTATAATATAACCATAAGGCTGTCTTGAGGTGTATAAATCAATGACCATCTTTGTAATTATTGTTTTAATCTTTTTAACAAAAATGTGTGTTTTAGTCGATGTGTGAAGTTGTACCCATCTTCACAATGTGCTTAATGATTACAAAAAAAAATCTGTAGAAAACTCTCAACTTATTTTTAAAATATTATGAAATAATTTCTAAATAAGGACAATAATCTGAAAAGATCAAGAATTCCACACCAATGACAAGCCCCCTACAAATCTCACTATAAAAAGAATTTGTCATGAATTTGATTCTTTGATTAGCTGTACTATTTTCTTACAACTCTAATGACTCCCATATTTTTTGAAAAATAAAATAAAATAAATAAATAAATAAAATAAAAAATCTCCCTCTAAAAAGGTGTAAATTAACCCATACATGTGATAATATCTTTACAACCTTAACAAACACTGTCTTGTGCTGATGAATAACTGGCATGACTTTTTCTTTATTTAATGAGCTGCCCAACTTGAAGCCTGGCCTCTGCATGGCCTCTTCACCACCACATAGTAGAGGAACACTTTCATTGCAATTCGTTCACACAATCTCTATTTACACCCTAACATGTGAAAGCTTTCCCAGAGCACAAAATACCACCTTCTTCACACAATAAAGACACCCATGTGATGGCTTGCTAATCACGGATTCAAATGAAGAAATGCCCCAAGGCGAGAGCGAACAGAAAGAATAAAAAACATACAAAACAAAACCATAAACCAAAAATATATCTACAAATCAAACAATGCAGAATTTTCACACATAGATACAAATAAGGGCAATATCTCACAAGTAGGGCTTGTTGTTGAGGCCTTTCCATGAACATTCCACCCTATTTTGGCGTGGAGTTGAGGAGTATCCATTTTAAGGAAACAAGTCACATTTTTTTCTCGTTAAAAAGGAAGGCAAGTGATGGGACTCCTGTTTGAGTCACGGCTCGCTGGATAGGAAGAGCCACCTGTCAGATAAAGAAGTGACGTGGCACTCCACGTCGAATTTCCCGCCATACGAGACTGCCAGCAAGGATTTTGTCTTTAAGCTGTTGGGCGTTGGGCTGCCCTTTCAGCCGCTTTAAAAGACTGCTTGATCTTTTTGGGTAGTTGGTGGATCACGGCCAGAAAAGAGTTACAGTCCACGTTGTCGTTTTGTGCTGAATGAGACAAAAACGAGGATGAAGAGCTGATGGCATTTAATGAAGTGACTGGCTTTGTCGTTTTGTGAGTAGTATTATGATGCTGTGGAAGATTTGAACTCTAAGTTCTAGGATCGGTATTTATGTGAAGAATTGCTCATGTAATAAATTTCAAGTGTGAAAAACTGACTCGGAATCGTCGGCAATGTGTTTGAACTACCAAAAGATGGCAAAGTGTGTTCTTCCATTCATTGTATCGAAATGCAATAAACTTTTGTATAAAAGTGACTGTTTTGGATTGTTTATTGTATGCATGTATGTATGAATAAATAAATAATACCATAACTAATCATATTGTAAAAGTAGGCAAAATATTGGATGATTTTAATTGTGGTTTTGACAAATTTTTTTGTAAAAATTAGCCACTGAATTAATTAAATATATAAATAACACAAATAACAACAATTCTTGTAAATATTATAAGTAGCATTCTTTATTCACATGCAAGAGTTTTTGACGATTTATCTTATTTCATTTTATTTCAATGTTTTTCAAACTTTTTTTTTTTTATTTTTGTAAAATTATGTTTTGTGTAATATTATGATTTTTATTGCTTCCTGCATCATCTATACTTTAAAACAAAACCAAATAAAGAAAACATTGTCAAAGGTTTTAAGGATTGTACTATTTAGATTCATAAGTTTCATTACTTTCACTATTTATTGGTTTTTAACCATTATTAGCCAGCATTATAAGCATTAAATTTTTAATTGAGTCTTCAAAGCATTCTTTGGATATAAAAATTCAACATATTATATCAACATAATGATATCTTAACACATTATTCAATATAATGTTGATATACACAAATGGATGTAAAAAGTTGATATAAAAAATAATATGTATTTAGTATATCAAACTTATAGTTAAATTTAGAATTACGTGCACTTCTTTAACTTACAACTTAATGTTCAATGCTACTACAAAATTAAAAAACAATGATAAAAATAAAATAAAATAAATAAATCTACAATCCACTATGAAAATAATCATGTTATGACAACATATTTCAAATATCCATCATATAAAACAACTTAGGTGTAAAATAAAGACATAAAAGTAGCCTTCTCATTGGCCTAATACAACATAAAACTAATACAGTACAAACCTAATACAATATAAAACTAATACAGTATAAATTAATACAAATACAATACAAACCTAATACAATACAAACTAATCCCAAACACATATTTCCTACGAATTTTAATTCCATATTTCATAACTTTGTGCAAATGTGTTGTTCAATAAAAACCGAGTATTAAGCCAATTCGTATTGATTAGAGGCTGGAAGCGGAGGAAATGCCACGTTGTCCACGCCCACGCCCAAGCACGTTAACAAAGAGGATAGATAATGGCCCTATTCTCACAGCGAAGGGGAGGCGCGACGGGAGTGTGCTGACGCTGGGTCCCGAAGCGGCAACCCCCGCCGCGTCTTGGCCGCTCCACCAGGTACCACAATCAATCTGTCGCCAATCCCTCTCGCGCTGCTGCCCGCAGCTTTCCCAATCCGCACTTCTCGCACTCCGTGTCCTGCTTTGGAGCTTGATCCTCTCGTAGATGGGGATAAGGTGGCGTTTCCGACACTTGGGTAGTTAGAGGGATTTTTGTCACAGCCGCGGAGCTCCGGTAGGTGGATCGCGGAGGCGGGGTGAATCGTGCTGGATCGGCGCTGTGGATCGCAGCACAATGTTGAGATTGAGGCCCATGGTTTAGTCTGTACCAGGAAGTTGTTGTAGAGTGGGTGTGTGAGGTTTAACGGTCGAGGTTTCCGGGAGAAAAAAGGAGAGGAAGAGAGAAAGAGTTTTTATGCGGTGCAAGCGGTTGCGAGAGCGGATGGCGGGGGCTAAGACTCCGTCGAAGTCCGCTAGCAAGAGCAAGAATGGCAATGGGTCGTATTACGAACAAGTGAGTGTTGAGTCATTCTACCGCGTTTTGAGTTTAGGAGAAGATTGTTGTGTAGACAGCATTGGATGGGGCGACATGGAGTCCCGCACACGTAGCGTTTGCTTGGTGGAGACGGACCTCTTTCATGGTGCGGCATTCTGCTCGCGCTGTATAGTGTAGTTGTAGATTCGTGTCATTGTGCTTGCTTCCACTGCTATTTCCTGTGCTCACCGTACTTCTGCTTGAGTGAGGCTATAGCGCGCATTGAGGGTGAAACCGGTAGCTGAGTGGTTCGAGTGCAATCAGAATAGGATTCGAGTGCAATGACACTTGTCTGTCCGACACATTCTGTGCTCGTTGTTTCGGCGACCTCCCACGCCTCTTTTTCTTTCCCCTGCATTTTCTCTCTCTCTTCTTTAGTCTACATGCAATCATCTCATTGATAAGGTCGTTGACGTTGCCTACATCGATCGCGTTCAATGGTTGTGCGTATGAGCACGTTTTATTTATTTATTATTATTATTATTATTATTCATTGAGAATTTGGAACTGTGTGTTTGTGGATGGCGTAGATACTGGCTCGTCTCTTCAACCGGTTCGGACGCTGCAAGAGCCACCAGAAATTTCTAATGCTCGGCCTCGATGGAGCAGGTTCATCTTCGGTTTACGATTCCTTCTCTTCGAGTCTTCTGAGTGTGTGTGTGCGCGCGCGCGCTGTGTTCTAGCTTTTTTCCATAGTCGACAACCTTGGTGAGCTAAGCAAAGCCTTTTCGTGTTGCAGGTAAGACGACCCTTCTGCGCAAACTGAAACTTCTTGAGCCTCCCTCCCAACCAACTGTGGGGTTCAACCTGGAGTCGCTTCAGTACCGGCAACACACATTAGTCATATGGGACGTGGGCGGCCAAGAGAAGATCCGCGCACTCTGGCACCACTACTTCATCCAGTCCCAGGGCTTGATTTTCGTTTTAGACAGCAGCGACCCCAGCCGAATTCCTGAGGCTAGGAAAGAGCTTCAGAAGCTACTCCATGAGCCTGAACTTAAAGACGCGAAGCTACTGGTGTATGCTAACAAGCAGGACGTTCAGAACTGTCTCAGCGTCTCCAACTTGGTCGACATGCTCGACTTGTCGATTGGCGAGGATCGACAATGGCATATGCAGGGGTGCAGTGCTAGCACCGGGAAGGGCGTCTACGAGGGCCTAGACTGGCTGGTGGACGCATTGAGACCCTGCTAATCCTTCACCATGTAATTCTCCTGATACTCTACGTTCTCACTAGGTTGCTACAATTAGACCAACAGCAGCAAGAGCTCGGATCGGCTAGCTATGTCGTCCTCCCTGCAATGTCAAGGGAAGTGATGCTGAGATTAAGACGTCTAGACATCTAGTTTTTCCATGGCATCGGTGCTTAATTCTTCTACCGTGTTGTGATCAATGATTTAACACGACAGCGTGGAGCGTCTCGACGTGCATCTCACCATGGTGTCCCATTGTGTATCAACAGCATCTTGGCGTCTGTGTCTGCTGCAAGAAAGACGTCACGCTTTTTGGCTCCTCATTTTATTTTATTTTATTTTTCGAATACCTCTGGGAATAGGTGCTTGGGTACATTGAATTCGGTCAGTTTCTATGTAGAGTATTTTATTTTTATTTATTTTTATTATTACTTTCTTCTATCAAGTGAAAATAATTACACCGGCTATCCAGTTCCTGCCGAAGTATGGTGTTTTTGCGGCATTTGTTGATGGGTACACGAGTGCCTGAGTCAGGTCATGGCCATGTTTTCTATTTGTCATTTGGGTTTATATTTCTGACTTTTCTATTAACGAGCTCACAGCCATTCGTATGTATGCCCACAGCAGGATCTCGGTGAGTTAGATTGAACCGCATCTCACTTGTGTGATATTTGCAGAGGCGGATGATGTGGATGGTGGAAATAAATTCTTTGGAATATTGACATTTGGCAAAACTAGGACTTATTTTACAGTGCGTGCACCCTGGTGTGGAATGTTAAGTGACTTATTTAGCATTTGTACAGTGATTGAAACATCCGAAGAGAAGGGGATCCATGTGCTTAATGGGAGCACCTTTTCTATTTTTGCGGTGTTTCTCGGTAGTTGCGTAAAGAATACATTCTATTCCTCGATCTTCATGGTTTTCCTGAACGAACATCCGCATAGCATGCTTGTGGTATCTTAAATAATGAGCTTTTAGTGAGACCATGGTAATGAAGGCGGAGAAAACTTCAGGTGTCACCAACACGCAGTATTTTTAGTAGCTTGTGTCACAAACATCAAAGACTGCAGACTACCATCTCCTTGATAACTTTCTCTTGAAATTAATCGCAGCCCCTGTATTCAGTAACATGGGTTGATTACATGGTTTTTTTTAAAGCCCTTGCATTGTGAATGCTATACAGAACTAAGGTTGCCCTCGACTAGCCCTGTAATCGGTGTTTCATCGCGAATGAAGTTCAATGCATGGCTTTTAGCAAGTTAAGTCTGAAATCGATCACCCTCACTGAGAAGATTAGTTTTCTAGTATATTCACAGAGCGTCGAGACTCATTCATCAGATAGGTTCTGTTGATCCAGTTCTGCAGTCCCATCTTTTCACGAACCTCACAGTCGGAATCTTTTGTGTAGTGCTCTTCATCCCACCGTTCTCTCTCTCTCTCTCTCTCTCTCTCTGTATGTGTTGCTTGCGGAGTTCGTTCTTTACTGGTGCAGATTGAGGAAGATTTGCAGCAATAGGGGAGCTATATTTGGATAAGCACGTGAATTACATCAAATCTCTCGACAAGGTGTGTATTGATTAGCTTCATGAGACGAATGCAGATAATTTAGGGTTTCGATCTGTGTGTGCTTGTGGGTTTTGGTAACTTTGGGAGAGAGGAGCAGTGTCGATTGGATATGAAAACATCGAATGCAGTGCAAACATTCTCCATGATAAGGCGAATCGGGTTTTTGGATGGTGTCGGAGTTATGCTGTACAGTTCTTATGCTGAGATTTGAGTTTTCACAGGGGTAGAAGTGTGGTGGATCGTTGAAGGATTGTGTGCGATGGGCTATGGAATTTTTGTAGAAAAAGGATTTCGATGCGGTGGTGATGGAGCACCTGCGTATGAGCGGAACGTACTGGGGCCACACCGCGCTGGACATTATGGGACGCCTTGGTGATATGAACATAGATGAAATTCTCATGGATTCTCATGTGCCAGGATGAGTGTGGTAGGCATTTTCTCTGATTATGGATCAAATTTTGCATAAGTACAGCTAATTGCAATTGGCCCTTGCGAAACAATTTTGTGCATTCCTGCTTTGCTTATTTTGGGAATGCGCATTTTGCTTTTCTCTCGTTTGGCTGTGTGGATTCTTGATCAAAGAGGCATTGGTGTAAGGCAGAAGATGCTCTTGCCTGCAAGCCTGACTGTTCAAGTAAAAGCATACCTGCATCCTGATTATTGAAATGTCCCTGCAAATCGTCGCATGCAGGAGGATTTGGATGTAACCACGAGCACGATCCGCACATCCTGTACACGCTAAGCGCTGTACAAATTCTGGCTCTGTTTGACAGGCTCGATGCTGTGGACGCAGATAAAATTGCATCATGTTCTAATTAGGTGAATGAATGCAGTCTTTTGTTGTGTTGGAGCACTTGCAATAAGCGGTGCTCTTCACCACGTTGATAAAGATCTGTTAGGCTGGTTGCTAGCTTAAAGGCAAGTTAAAGCGGGGGGTCTCAATGGCCGCCCTGAGAAGCTCCCAGATTGGTTTTTGACCAGAAACTGATCTGATCAGTATTTCTTCCGATTTTGCACCATATTGTCAATGGTGCCACTGTAATCTTCGAGTACAAGAATCAGTATTGGTGACCAGCAGATGGCATTCTTTGAATGCTTCAGTAATTTCTAGTAACTTCCATATCTGCTTGTAAAGGAGGCATCCGTTCTATGACGAATCACGCTGACATTGATCATTTTCAGCAATCTAGATACGTGATTCAACACTTGATGTTCAGGTTTTGACCGAAGAGTTTCTTTTCAGGTTTGCTATCCTTGCTAGCCTCGTCATGATGGATCGAGTGCATTGGATTGACAAGAAAAAACTGGAGCAATTCATTCTTGACTGTCAAGTTAGTCTCTTCCTCGAGCATCTTCACACATCCTTCCTAGTCCTGTTTCTCCCAATAAGCACTCCCATGTCATATGCGCGAATAGTTGATTGAAGCATTAGTTGGCTGGATAGATGTTTCTGTTGAGTTTACCAAGTCACTCAGGCCTTTGTGTTTGCTCGCAGGATCCTAAATCTGGAGGAATATCTGACAGGCCAGACGACGCTGTTGATGTTTTCCACACTTTCTTCGGTGAAGCAAGTGCTTAATCATTCTCACTCTCCCAAGTTAATAATAGAAGAGCTTCCTTGTTTCCTACTGTTTTCTTTTGCTCAATTTTTTTCTGCTATTCTAACGTGAATTGATCGTTCTATGTATACTGAAAGATTGGTGGATTTTACTGTTAGCTCAGTAAATTGAAGATGGCTTCTTATGGAGTATTGTAATATGGCAGGATTATCGTTGCTAGGTTTCCCAGGACTCACCGCCATTGATTCTGCTTATGCACCTCCAGTGGATGTAGTGGGCAGAGTATTCTATGGTAAGAAGAAATAACTGCTATCCATTTAGTTTTTGCACTCAAATTTTTTGTGAGTATATTAGCTATGGTTGAAATTATGCTTATAGCGTATGAACACTCTGATAGATTTGGATGCTAGAATAAAGCAGTGCATCCATGTAAATAAATTTAAGCATTCGTGGATCATTGAGTTTTAAATTTTTTTTAGGATTTCCAAAAGTTCCAAGACAAGGCTTTCCTGTTTTTAGGGAAAATATGGGTTATGAGACAATGTGAGAGGATTTATATAGTTGTTCTAACCCAAATACTAATTGGTTGTACAAGTTTTTATCTTTTTTCTTCTTTTTCTATTTGTCTTATTTATTTATTTTATTTTATTTTATTTTATTATTATTGATTAGAAGAACAAATTGAAACTAATAAATAAGAGGAAATTGCATTGCAATGATTGTTGCCACAATGCCACAATGAAATGTGATTAATCTTGACTTACTTTGCTTTGCAGATTTTTTCCATAATGTAAAATTTATCGTACTTGGTCAAAACAATTGATTACCATCTATTTTTAAATATACAATTCAAAACAAAATAATTTGTTTAATTTATATGCTTCAATATATATATATATATATATATATATATTTATTTATTAGATAGTTGAATGTTATTTTTCAAGATAACATTAATGAAGAATATGTAATGTAAAATCTATTATTGCTTATTTTCATGTGTCACCTCTTCATAGACACATATAGTATTTAAGAAAATAGAAGTGAATAAAAATGATTAAAAGCATGTACAAGTAAATAAAAATTAATTAGAAAGACAATATCTTGTAAAAAATTGTTAAAGTTTTATAAACATAAACTAGGTTTATATATGCAATGTTTTTATTGAAATATTTTAAGGATTTTTTTAATTAAAAAAATTATTACAAAAGTGTCTTACAACTTGGATGCTTGTTTCATAACTCTTTTAATACTTCACAAGCTTCTACATAGCCAATAAAGTTTTTACTTAGTTTATACAAAATGAAATAAGAGTTGTACTCAATCTTATAAATGATTCTAAAATAATCCAACCTTTATAATTATCTTTATACTTATTAACCACTAATAAAGAAATACATCTTTGATTACTGAGACTGATAAATAATCAAAGTACAAGATTTTTAAGTTAAAGCAAACATAACTTAACATAATTAGAGTTTGAGGATTTAATTTTTCAAATAATTTTATCAAGGTATTCAAAGTCTTTCAAGTTTTGTTTTGGTATAAATTACATAATTTTTTTAAACAATTAGCATTAGTGCTAAATTATAAAACAAGAGAAGGTTTCAAAAACCTTATGTAATTCGTTTTTTTTTAAAATAAATTTGGTCACTATTTTTTTTTCTTCTTATTTATACTTTATAATCTCTTAATATAAAATTATTATATATATATATATATATATATATGTGAGTGTGATACATATATATGTATTTTTTTAATAAAAATTAACCACTTCTTACCTAATACATCTCTATATATCTATCCATATTTACTTGTTTATTAGGAATGGACATCCTTAAATTGCTTTAGAATCAACATACTATAAACGAAATAATAACATAAAATATAATAAAAAAATCCTATTACAAACAATATTATTGAGAATCATACAAATACATATTTGTAGTACTTCAAAAAAAAAGTAGAACAAGATGTTATAATTAAAATGCAGAAATATATATATATATGTGTGTGTGTGTGTGTGTGTGTATGTATGTATGTGTGCTTATGTAAATAAAAATAAAAAACATATAAATGTAAAAATAATTATTATAACTTATTATAAAAAATAAATTAAAAATTTATATAATAATACTAAAATGTGTATATATATATTCATCTACACAAATATATTCTTTTAATACAAATGAGTTGTTAGAATATGTTTCAATCATCAAAATTATCATACACATTAAAATATGTTCAAAAAACAATCTTACATATAATTATTTTCAATACATTTGATCTTACTCTAATTGAAAATATATTTATAAAATATAATTATAATTAATTTTATAATTAACTTTAAAATAATTATAATCATTAATTCATAATTTTATTATATGTTATATAAATTAAGTTAAGTAATAATTCTAATTTTATAAGAAAAAAATCCACTATTTAAGAACCAGAGAAAAAATAAAATTTATAATTTTTTTTTTATTTATTTTCATGTATTTATTTTCATAACTTTGAAAATATATGACTCTTTGTAAATTAGAATAATAAATAATTATCAAAATACATAAGTAATATTAGAATTTAAATTTTGATAGAGGACAAAAATAGTTGACTTAGATATATTTTTAAAAATCTCAAAATTTAGAACTAACACACAATAAAAAGAAAACAAATTACTTTCTAGCACACTATTATAAAATGTAAATATTTTAAACTTCCAAATATTATAAAACAGTTAAATTTTATACATTTTTTTAAAAACATTCTTGGTATAATTTAACTCTATAATTTTATCAAGAAAATAATTTAAATAACATAAAATCAAGAAAAAGTGTAAAATATATTTTTTAAAAATAATCTTTCTATTATTTAATTCTTTTTAATAGTTCTACAACTATTTATTTGTATTTTAAAAAAAGTAATTGATTCAAATATTTATTGAAAAATTGTTAGTTGTGAATCTTCTTTATTAAAAAGTTACAAAAATAATTTTATAAAAAGAAAAAAAGTTTAAAACAAAATCGTTGTCAAAACTTTGTAAAATAAAATTTGCAAAATCAAATATACTTATTTATTTATTTTTCAAAGGATAAACAACCAAAAAAATAACATTTAATAGTATATATATATATATATATATATATATATATAAACACCTTACTTTTTAGGATTCTTTATTCACGTCATTCTCAATACATTCTCTTCCTTCAACACTTCCATGAACGACAACTCCAAATCCCCTTCTCCGAGAATCGTCTTCCGAACATGGGAACACTCACGATCTTCACATCAACGAGCGAACGTGAGAAGACTCACCTTCCTCCGCAGTTCATGCCCCAACCCAAGCTCCACATCCATTCCCAACACAACAACCTCAACATGCCATGTTGCAGAAAACCACCAACAGAAAATATATAAAACAAGAAAAATAAAAAATGACAAAAATAAAACGACACCCCTATTAGTCAAAACTGACACCTTTGATTAGTGATTGAGTGATTCAGCAAAAACCAAGCACTGTTGGAGAATGGTGATGAGCACTCATGGGTCAGTGGAGTTGAAGCTGCAGAGCTACAGTTTCACTGAATCCCATCAACTAACACCTTCATTTTTGTTGGACATTGTGACGTGGGTTGCGAGCAGTTTCACAGTTTGGGTTAGTGAGTGCAAGCAGTCTCGCATTTTGTTGTCTTAATTGTGTTGGCCACGTAGTCTCTGAGATTGTTCACATGGAGAGTTGAATCCTTGAGGGCTTGCTGTTTTATTGTAGCCAATTCTTGGTCTCAACATTGTTAACGTCTTCACGTCAATCGTCGCAAACCTGTAGCGTCCACTTTCGACCTTGGGGATTGTTTGTCAGAGAATTGCGGGGTGAATGGATTGTGCCTCGGTTCAGTCATTTGTGAGTTGCTTCCCGTGAGGACGTCGGTTTAGTCAGAGGCAAAGCTCAGAATTCCGCGATCCTGCCATTGACGGGGCAGCACATGAATCCCGGATCTCTAGCCCGCACGAAGAGCTCCTCGGGAGCGGTTGCTGTGGACATGGCCATCCGGAACGTTGATGTGTACTCGCCAATTTTGAAAGGGTCGAAATTGGAGCCTCGGTCTCAACACAGCGTGCACTGCATCCCAGTGTTGATCGTCGTCGTGCTATTTCTTCTGTGGGTCGGATCCAAAGGTGCGAAATCCTCTCTACACCTTCTCAGCATTGATCCAATTCTGCTAATGACGGTATTGTTCAGTTGATTCAGGTGGCGTTTGGAAATTCAAGTGGGGTCTTAGCTTCAGGGATTTTCTGCAGTGTGTCTTTGGTTTCTTCCTTTTTTATGGGGATTTCTGGCCCTTGGGATCGATTGAAAGATAATCGACTGGTTAATTGCACTTTTTGGCCCCCTCACGGAAACTCAGACCTCGATGCAACCCCAGAGAAGTTCGTCATGAGAGGAGCTACGTCAACGAATCTCACTGCCACTTCTGACAAGCTTGAGAAATTCCACAGCAACGTCAATTCCCTGCCAAAGACCAAGGGAGTGGTGAATCACGTTTCTTCCTCTCTCTCAAATCATGGCACTCCTCTCTCAAGATCAGGAGGAAGAAAGGCAATCACCGACAATCCTACATGAGAGGCGATCCAAGACATGAAGGATAGTTGATAGACGCAACAAAAATCATTCACTTTTTGTCGTTAGGGAAGCAATTATTGCTTTTATTTCAGCAACCATATCTATCTAATTATCTATAAATGTTTTTGTTTGTTTATTTATAACAAGGGAATTGTTTTACAACAAATTGAAAAAAGGGGGGTTGGACAAGCGGATTAATAAGCCCTACACACGAATTTCCGCTCCACTCTTCGATGCCTGATTGCCGAGAGGTGGAGTTCAGAGTTGATATTTGAATAACCTCTAACATCGATCACACTAGACCATTTTATCTGTGTGCTACTCCAACCAGAAAAAAACCATGTAGTTCGTTTGAAATACGTGCTGAAGTTCATGAAGTTGATGGAACTTCAAGTTAGTTTGAAAATCGCGCCTGCGAATCTTCAATGTCTGTATCACGTTCAAGGGTTCTAACAAGGATCGGCCAAAATCTACGCTTTGGCGACGCTGCATGCCCTTCCACACATTACGTGATGAATCCATGTGAGGAAAAAGTAGATCACGCTTCGGTTTCGCGCAAACGAAAGTAGATTGACCAATCTATGGAGGGCCTGAAAAAACACAAAATGAATTAGACACAAGTTCATTCCAGAAATACTGTGAACTGACGCTGATTAACGACCGTATATCTGACGAAGACCAAGAATACACGTTCGGTGCGATCCAAAGCAGTAGTGAAGACATCAGCTACTACAGTCCTGTGGTCGCTGAACTATCTTCAGACTTCTCTTAGTAGTGGTGGTGTGCATCAAAAAGTTTTGTCTTGATATGAAAGGAAACGCTCTTCACTAGCTTGAAGCTGCTTTGAATGTCAAGAAAGAGCTGAGTGACTGAACAAACTAGACATCTAAGTTCCACAGGCTGATTGCATATGCTTGCATAACTCGAATTCTGTAGAAGATTCACAATATGAGCTGCAAGTAATGGGAGGACCGCCGACAATGAACAAGTAATCACTACTAAATCGAAGATTTCCTAGTCTTCACTCCAGTTCGCGTCCGTGATACGAACCGCAATGGCCCAGATTGTGCTTATTTAGGATCACAATACTCCATGCCGCAGGCTGGAAGGATGCTATGACAAACAAAAATGCTTGAAGGAGTGTAACAGGACACATCACCCAAGTCAAACACAGCAAACTTTCCCCCTAATTTGACGTAGAAGTATACTTGTTCTTCCGATTATTGTCCCTCACAAAGAGATTAGTATGACGTGCATGCAAGGCATGGGTCAGTCGATCGATAATTTAGTGGAGGTCATTATCATGGTGACTTTGAGTCGTACCCTAAAATTTCAGAGATGCGTCCATAAGTTAATATCAGGCACAAGTCACTTGCTTTAACCCTGGAAAGGTACTGAGTGCATGCAACGAACGCAATGTTCATGTCCAAGTCTGACATGTCCAACAGACTATTCCCAATCGACCTTCTAAAGTGGCGCCTTTTAGAAGTTCAAATCTGACGTCAAAGTGACGAATCTGCGGATCATAATGGGCTGGAATGGTAGCAAAAGCTGAAATTTGCACATAAGGTGTGCTACCGAATTGCCTGAACAAAGAATTATCGAGGGAGACCATACAATACTTGGGTTTCGGTTTCAACAGAGGGTTTCCCTTGTGGGGCACCCGATGTTGGATAAAACGAACAAAACATACAGCCCTCATCTATGAATAAGATGGGGGGGGGTCTTACTAAGAACATGCACCCGACCATCGTAAGAAAGAACCCATGTCGTCGTTAAACCACACCCATTCTGGTGTGGAAAATAGGTCAGTGTAGAGACAAGAAACATGCATTAGTTGTGCAATAAGCCTGAAAGATCTCAAATCTGACTTAAACTCCATGATTCGATTTTATAGAGAACTTTTATATGCGATTTTTAGCTTCTACACGTTGTCAAAACATTTGATAACTTCCGAATGATTCAAGTTTTTCTCAAAAGTAGTGAACACATACACCAAATGTAGGCGGCACTCTCCATAATATTTATTGTAGTCTACACCACACAAAAGTTCATCCATGTTGAGAGTATTAAATGACATACACCAAATGTAGGCGGCACTCTCCATAATATTTATTGTAGTCTACACCACACAAAAGTTCATCCATGTTGAGAGTATTAAATGTAGCCGGGGCTCTCCATAATATTTACTATAGTCTACAGTAAATACTATAGCTATAATATTTGAAATGTAGTGGAGAAGAACTGTTTATCCTCTCCCCTTTTCTTTTTGTATACGTGACACAACCAGATCAATAGACCTGTGTGTGAAGCTCTCTCTCTCTCCTTAGAAACTCTCTTGTGTATGTGTGTATATTACTTACAACTACTCTTGTGTCTTTCTAAACATTCTCAACACGTTATCAGCATGACTCTCTTCTACATACTATCGCATTTTTTTTGCTCTAGTCTTGACTCTTCAAACTTGTTGCTACTCTTGCTCCTTATCTGACTCATGATCTTACTGCACTTCTTGTTGGCCCCTCATACTCTAGCTGCTTGCTTTACTTTGTGCCCTGCTTACTTAGAATACTTGTTCCAACCTAGCTTCCCTACTACGCCCCATACTAGCCGCCTAACAGCCCCTGCTGCTTGCCACTAATTCTACCATTGATACCACCTTGCCACCATTGTCGATCGCCTATTGCCATCAAATAGCCACCAACCTCGCTGTTGACTGTGGTTGCCAACTGCCGCCAACCCCGTCGTTGACTGCCATTGCCACTAACTCCTAACTGCCATCGACCATGCCGTTGACTATCATTGACGCCACCACCATCTTGCTGCCATTGCTGCTACCACTATTGCCTTGCCGCCGCCATCCTGTTGCTACCACAATCCACAACCTTGTTTAAAAAATAATAATAATAAATTAATTAATCAATATTTTTGATTTCAAGTTCAAGTTTATTATTTTATTTGACTTTATATTTTAAGGTATATTTTACTCAACTTTTCTATTTGATCTTGTATTTTCTTTATAGATTTATTTACAATAAGTGCTTCAACTTCTTCAACTGCTTCTATAATGGTTCCAATTATTACCAAAGCATCCCAATATTTTCAAACTCTTTTATTTCCATCATTGACTGTGGATGGAAACAATTATCTATTATAGGCAAAAATGACAAAAACAAATTTAGTTGCAGAATAACTCTCGGATATCATTATGTTTGAAGAATCTCCTACAATAAGTATTTCTATTCCTTCTGCTATCTGTTGGAAAGCACTTCTTCTCCTTCGTCGTCATCTTATACCTGCATTACAACATCAATAATTGAAAATAGAAGATCTTGCAGAACTTTGGAAGAACCTTAAATCTAGGTTTGATCATCAAAAGACCATTTTCCTTCCACGTGCATGTCATAATTGGACACATATATGTATCTTAGATTTTCCAAATTTAAATGCTATCAATAGTAAAATGTATAGTATTGTCTCATAATTATAATTATGTACATGAAGCATCTCTAAAGAAGAAATGATTGAAAAAAAATTCTCTCTACATTTCCTCTTATATCTGCTGAGCTTGCACAACAATACAGGAACATGAAATTTTAGAGTCATTCTAATCTCATATCATATCTACTTCTTGCAAAGAAACAAAATAAGCTACTCTTGTGCAATGTGGAAGCTCATCCTATTGGAACCATAGTTTTGGAATCTCATGCACTTAATATTTCAAAGTCTAAGAAAAAATTATATAAACATGGAAAAATGTACTTATAAGTATTAGGGTAGTCATAGTCATGACCATTTCTATCTATATGGAAAGAATAAATGTTCTACTATTAATTATAGTAAAAAAAAAAATCAAAGATGTATTCTTGCCATAAATATGAAATGATTGGATATTTAGCACATGTGTGCAGTACTTCAAAATACTTTATTAAAATTTTCCAAGAAAATAAGGAACTACGAGTTGAGGCTCATGAAGTTCATACCATGGGTACATCCATGGATTCAATTGGTGCTGATAACTTAAAGACTTATATGAATGACAAAACCTCTAATGATGAATCAAATGATGTGCTCATTGATTCTGCAACAACACATACTATCATGTAGGATAGATGACTTTTTATTGAAAAATCTTCAACTTGGCAAACTAAAAATATGATGACCATGGCTAGAGCAAATGCGTTTTTTTTCCAAGAGGGCATAGCAATGGTAAAATTACATACGGGTTCCATCATAAAATATAAACATGTAATATTTTCACCCTCAGCATCTTGGAGTCTAATTAACTATCAAGATATACGTATCAATAGTTATCACCTCTTGACTACCATTTTAAATAGAAAAGAGATTTTGGTTCTTACAAAGAATTATAAAATTATTGAAGAAGCTTTTGCTATAGAAAATGGTTTATATCAAATTGCAATTCATCCTCCTATTATATTTAATTTTGCATCATCTATGACAGAGAGTCGTGCTTCTCTCTGGTATGGACAATTCGAACATCTAAGATCTACATTATTTAGAAAGATCATTCCATGTATAATTGGACACAATTTAAAGCTTGCGGATGTAGACTCTATATAATTATATTGTGCATGTGTCTAAAGTAAGATGATTACTTGGCCTTCAATTTGAAAACTCCTACAAGAATTACCACCAATGCTTAAAAGATTGCATAGTGATATTTGTGGTCCTATTAATCCAATATCGAGACCATTTCATTATTTTTTGGTCCTTGTTGATGCATCACGTAAACAATCACATGTTTCATTATTATCAACTCAAAACATAGTATTTGCCAATCTTATATCTATGCTTATTCGTTTTTGGGCAAATTTTCCTTATTATCATATAAAAACATTGCGTATGGATAATGCAAAAGAATTTGCATCAAAGTCTTTTGAAGACTATTGTACTGCAATATGAATTGAGTTGACATATTGTGTTCGATATGAATATGCTCAAAATAGACTTGTAGAGTCATTTACAAAGCATATACAATTGATTATCTGGCCACTCTTCCTTCATGCAAATTTACATGCATCTATATGGGGTCATGCAATTTTACATGCTATAAGATTAATATGCATCCGTCCTACTTCTCTTGAAATTGTTTCACCACATGAGCTCATTTTGGGTCGTGTTTCAAAAATATCTCACTTACGC